TTCAACGCTGCGGGACAGGTGTTGCACCAACAGGTGTTCAACGCTGCAGGAGTGCGCGCAGCCTGTTTGAGTCTCCCTCTGTTTCTGCTGCTTTAGTTCCTGAAATCAAACATTAACACTGAAATGTGTAAACTTATATGTATATAAATATGTATATGAGATTATTTTGTTTCCTGTTCTTAAGACATACCAGCTGTTTCAAGCCAGTTGTTCAAACTGTTCCAAAGATGTAAGGAAATATTAACAGGAATAAAGTACGTTTGTGTGTCACCAAGACATTTGTCGCTTGTCGCAAGTTGAGTTTTCTTCTGTTTTTACAACAGGAAGTTAAGATCCAAGATCGGCAGCTCTTGCTGGGATCAGGCTTCCCAGCTCCATCAGTGATCCCCATCTTGTTTGAGGAAACGTTCTACAATGACCAGGAACAGCGGTACAGTATTCTTTGCATCTCCAGGCCTGTGGAGTTTGAATCCAGACTGGCCGAGGTCAGCCCACTTCCTCCTTACTGCCTGAGGAGTCTGGAGGATGTGATGGAGTTCCTGGGTCGTCCTGTCCAGAAACTGGACAAGTTCGTTCATGGCTTCTGTGAAGCTTTCAAGGAACATGAGAGGAAGGGACTTCGCCACCACATAGTATGAAAAACTAAATCCTAATAGTTCAGGTTTTTCTTTGTTTGGTCACTCCTTTGGTTTAAATATCTGATAAGTACATTGTCTCTTCATGTTCTATTTTTAGGACACTGTGAATGGTCTTTACACTAAATGTCTTCAATGTCTGCTGAGAGACTCCCGCCTGGTAAGTAGACCCCAACCTGGTGGAGAAGCTGTCAATCTATCTGCTATAAGCTGCTATACGTAACTGACTAGATTAGTCATGTTTTAAAGATAAATATAGCAGAGTATCATCAGTATAACATGAAAATATCACCCATGATGTCTAATAATTTTACCTAATGGAAGCATATAGAGAGTATTTATCCAAGTACTACACTGGTGTTAATACAGCATGAAGCCTGAGGAACTTCATGACTAAATTAAGTGTATTCATTATTAATATAAACAAACTGGAATCTTTCAGATAAATATGTTTTAAACTATTTTAAAGCAGTTTCCAGTAATTCCAAATTGACTCTTGAAAAATAGTTTGGTTGTGACCACAAAGTTTTGTTTTCTCTCGTCGCACCAGTTAACTTTATTCCACTTCATCTTTGTGTAGTTTTGTATATTTATTGGCTGTTGCTGTTAAAGATGGGCAGTAATGTGGATTATTGCCTTTGCGTTTATTTGTCTGAAACTTTTAGAAAGTAACATTAGGTGTACATCCACAACGGGTTAACTGCTAAAGTCAAGATGGCCACCGCAGCTTATCAATCTTAGCCAACACCAAAACTGTTACGACAGCTGTTTTTACAAATATTGAACTAAATCTAGTGTCTGAGCAGCGTCCTGTACTCCAGTGGTCCCACTCCTTTTTTATTATATTCCTGTTGAAAGACTGATGCATTGGATACATGGATTGTTCAGTTAAAAAAAAACTTGTAATTTTTATGATTTATGAATTTAACAGCAGATGTTGCGGGAAATGGATGATGTTATGATGTACAAGTTGACGAGGGTTTGCAAGAATAATGATGTCAATACACTAATGCCCAATCAATCATTTAAATAATTTATGTGGCTTTGACCATACGGCAGTGAACTACAGTAGTCCACGTGAATCTCAGACACCCCACTGTGGGTGGGGATCTTGTGTTGGTAATGGGATAAATGTTGCATCTGCCCTGTGGCCACAAAACTAACGTTGAGCATGAAAAGCAACAGCCTGCAAATTTCTTTTTGCCTCATTCCGAAATCACAATTTATGAAAAAAATGTTGCTCAATATTTATAATGTTTGGAGATAATCGGGCCATTTCTATAGATTGCTGTGTTATAGTTTGTTGATGGGTGTATAATGTGCTGTACATGGTATACTCTTGTTTTCTTCAGTGCTTCTGCTTTTGCACCAACAGAAAAACCATCCTCCCACCTTAACCTTGCATCCCTGCATATGCCTATATATACAAGGGCATGCACGTTAATTGATGGTTGAACTAGTCGGCAATACACTTCAAGTGTTTTTGAGGTGTTTCACGTAATTTTTTCTTCTGATTTAGTCATAACATGTTTGGCATGCACGTTTCTCTCTCCTGATCATTTATTATCACAAACATGTAGATTAAACACAGACTGAAATGCTAAGTTGTATCAGTTTGGTATCAAAAAGAGAAAGTAATAAACTTCCTCTTGGAGTATTTGGTACAAACTGTATTGAAAATGTACCTGTCATAAATTACTCTATTGAATGGAGACGTACTTGTATTTGTGAGTTAGGCAACTCTAAGTGTGGCAAAAGAAAGAAAAGGATGAAACACGAAGCTGGAGGACATGTCTGTAAAGAAGATACATACGTATAGAAGATATACTGTATATACCAGTAGTATCTATTTATATCAGGATGACATCCTCAGTGTTATCAAAGTAATAAGGAGCAAAGGTCAGACAGCTGGTTTTGAAGAAATGTGGTATGTATCATAATTAATGTAATTCACCTTTTGATTATTGGAATAACACAGAAAGACACACGTGCCAAAAAAATAAAAAACACTTGTCAAATTACGAAGAGGAGCAGTACTTTAATCAAAAGCCGTCTCGGGTCATCAGATGTGTCAACAGTCTACGCCTGGAGCTCTGTCAACAGAGCTCGTGGATGGGTGACAGAGGTCGTGTTTCCTGTTTCTTCAGAAACGTAGGTGACACAGGCCTCCTTGTGAAACCGAATGTGAGTCCAAAGCCATCTGGTGCTGTAGAAGCATATTGCACATCTCCTTGAAGTCCAACAATCAGAGCAGTTAAGGACTGGTGTTTTCCATAAATACATGTCACTTTAGTTTGAATGAATGTGTTTGTTGGTTCTTGCTCATTTTCATTCCTTTAATTCCATAAACTCCGCTTCATTGTGAAAAGTAGTTCTGGTATTTGCAATGAAACTTCCACCCTGACCTATTGCCCAGATTTTTGTGTACCGGTATAACCATTTTGCACATGTGCCAAACATCTTGACAACTTATGCACCAATAAAGTCTGGCACCCGTCCTTGAACAAATCCTTCAGATTGGGAACGGTTTCAGGTGATGAGCATTCTTCATCTTTATGTTTCTCTGCATGTGTTTACAGAAACCTGTGGTAAGGCAGGAGCTTCAGATGACTCTTCTCAAACAGGCAGTGGAGGTATCTTCTTTTAAATCAACTTCTTTCTCCAGTTCCAGTAAAGAACTATGTCTATAGGTTTAAGTGCAGGATGGTTCCCTGCTCCCACCTACTTCGCCATGAATACTGTGCCTTTAAAAGTACTCACCCTTAGTTGTTTTATTCTTTTTTAATTGCTATTTGAAAGTATGGACAGTTATGTCAATATTACTTGGCCACAAAGAACATGTGAAATCATTTTTCTACAGAGTTACACCAAAGTTTACAGTCAATCTAGGTTCTTACCTTCATTTATGGTCATGAGCTCTCGGTAGTGACTGAAAGAACGAATTTGCAGGCACACACGGTCGAAATGAGTTTTATCTGCTGGGAAGCTGGACTCTCCCTTAGAGATAGGGTAAGAATTTCAGTTATCAGGAGAGACTCGGAGTAGAACCGTGCTCCTCCACATCCAGAGTAGCTATTTGAGGTGGTTCACCATCTGGTAAGAACGCAACCCTGAAGGCATCCCTAGAGGTGCTTTGGGTATGTCCGACCAGGAAGAGACTCTTTGGAAGACCCAGCACATGCTGGAAAGAAGTCTATAGCTGCTTTGTCATTGAGAAGTGCAACTTGACTCGGTTCTCGTCAGTTCTTCTCGGGTGTAGGTGATTTGCCACCGTGACTTGTTTCCCCACTCTGTGGGCAGGATCATCAAAGCAAAGTGGGAGGTATCATAACCAGTCATTGTGTTGGAGCCACTCCACAAAAACAACACACTGAACACGATCAGAGAGGAGGAGATGGAGGTTCAGATGTAGTTTGCAGTTTTGCTGGGCCGGTCATCAAGTGACGTAGCTCCACTGGTCAGTCAACGGCTGCGGTCTGCTTACATCAAAATTATCACCTCGGAACAGTTTGCTTGGAACCAAAACAAGGTGGTCCCATAAACTGGGCTGAGTAGGTACCGGCAGTGGGCAGGCCCTTAACTGGTGCAGTGTGGTATGGAACCATTGACAGTTGAGACAGTGGCAAAGCGCCATATTCCTCTTGACTGGAATGGGAATGCGTTGGAGTCCTCCCAGTGGAGATGGCTGGGTAAAGAGATGGTCTGAGTCTCCCTGCTCAAGCTGCTGCCCTGCGACCCGACTCCAGAACAAGCAGAAGATAATGGAAGAATGTAATGTAATAATGTTTAAATGTAGCGTAAATATTTTCCCGTCTTTAAAGGGACTAGTCAAGGGACGGATACTAAAGTATTTGTAAGACCCTAAACATCCCCAGAAATTCTGTTCCATCCATCAACAAGAAGTGGAAGCAATAAGAGAGAACCACAATCTCTCCCATCTGACCTTCTGAAGCTTCGGACTCCTTCAAAATGGTCACTAGTGTCTTGGTGGCCTCTTTAACTTCGGTGTTCTCCTTCTTGTCACCCAGTTTGTGTGGGCGACTTGGTAGTACGCAGGTTCCTTTTTGAACTTTTTTTGTAGAAAAAAATCACATTTCTATTGACCACAATTGATTTATTACTGCGAGCATGGTGGCACAGTTGGTAGAGCTGTTGCCTCACAGCGAGAAGGTCGCTGGATCAAATCCCGGCTGGGGGCCTTTCTGGGTGGAGTTTACATGTTCTCTTAGTGCTGCGTGGGTTTTCTCCTGGTACTCCAGTTTCCTCCCACAGACCAAAAACATGTTAGACTGACTGGTGACTCTAAACTGTCTCTAGGTGAGAGAGAGAGAGAATGGTTGTTTGTCCCTGTGTGTCTTTGTGATGGACAGGAGACCTGTCCAGGTGTCCCCCTCCTTTTGCACAGTGACTGCTGGATAGGGACACCAGTGACCCCCTGCAACCCAAAAAGGAAGAAATGGGTAAAAGTTGATGGACTGACTGATTGATTGATTGAGTGATTGATTGATGTCAGCAATAAAAAATAAAACATCTAAGAGGGTGAATACGTTTATAGGCACTGTAAACAACCAATGTATGGGTCAATCACAGAACAGTACTCAGGTCTGGTACATTTCAGCTACTTGTAGGTTGTACTGACATTGAGTTCTATCCTAAAATCAAGATTTTTTTTTTGTATAAAAAATACATGGCCCTTGTTCTTTACACTAAGTTTTGTATTATGCACCTAAATAGCACTTTGCTAATTTTTTTAAGAAGGACCTATTTGTGCACAGTTTTGTCTTCTGTTGAAGTCTAATAAGAATGTGCATAAATTATAACGTGTCTAGATATGTCTCTACATTGCCTTTTCTATGTTTGTATTTCAGATCTATGTTTATCATGGTATTCATGATTTAATCTTTAACCTTGTGGGAGCTCTTGAAGCCAGCAACGTAAGTGTGTGCTCTGATTCCTTACCTGCATGAACGATTCGTTTCTCGTGCACAGAACTGTAATTACTCTGCCACTCAAACTGTTGTCTTCTTCAAATAAAACCAACAATTTTACTGATAAAACTTTTGAACAGTGATATCATAAAGTCCAATTTTGTTGTTGCTTGCTCAGAAGGTGTTGTAGTCCTGGGCCAACCTGAACCAACCGATGTAACAAACATTCCCAGGATTTATTCTGAGAGGAACACGGTGATTTTTGTCCCCTGTTGAGGAGCAAAGAAGGGGAATTGTAAAAACACTCCGTCTGTCTGTTCATCTTGTGATCATAACTTGTAAGATAACGGAGGCACTGACTTCCATTTTGATGTGTGACTACATCTAGAGGAAAGAAAGTTTCCATCCATCCATCCATCATCTTTTACCCGCTTCTTCCATTTTGGGTCACGGGGGTCGCCGGTGCCCATGTCCAGCAATCACTGTGCGAGGGGCGGGGGACACCCTGGACAGGTCACAAGTCCATCACAGGGAAAGAAAGTTTCCTCAGAAATTAAGTTGCCATGTCAAAATCCAAGACGACTGTCGCCATAAATGTCCGTCCATGTTTTGAGCATGTTGGCTCAAAAAAAGAGCGGTATCGACGTACATGCTGGTGCGTCGTGCGTCTAGACATAAGAAAAGGTTCCTTTTGGAAACTGGGATGCCATGTCCAAATCCAAGATGGCCACCATACAGACATCCCTATGAACGAACACTTTTTTCCAAGCTTCTTCTCCAGGTTGAACTTTAAGTCCACTTCCTGTTTCTTCTCAGAGCTCGTCTCTGTCTCCCTGTTGATTGTCTTACAAGCTTGTCAACATTTAGTCCTCGAAATATGAAAGGGCTTTTTACTGGGGCGTGGTAAAGTTTGCCGCTCTACAAAGAAACCAGGAAACACTTTGAGCAGGAACATTTGTATTTTTCCAAATGCAGCACACACATTGTCAGAGCGTGGCTGGCCCCACGTTGACCCACCTGATCTTATACGAGCTACACAGAACATATATTTTTATAAACACTGACTAATTTAAATAAAATTTACGTAGAAAAGTAATGTTTTTTGTTTACTTGCTTGCAGCTAAGCTAGCTGACAGCAGATGGAACTTTGTCTAAAGTTCTGAATTTTAGCTCAATATCTGTGAACTTGACTGTTTGCTAAGATTGATTCGTGGTGGTGGCCATCTTGAATTGTAGTACTCCAAAGGGGAATCGGTTGTAGATGACCAATGATTACGCAATCACAAACATCATCGCCTAACCTTTAGTGGTCCACTGACCCAGATGAAGCCGTAATCAGGATTAATCTTTAGGTTATGCTTAAAGAAGCTTCTTGGTGTGGCTCTTCCTCCTGCTGCTTGTTGTAAGAAGACAAAGAACATGGTTTTATAAAATGAAGGATCATGGGTGAAGGCTCCCATGTGTCTCAGCCCAAGGCTAATCAATCCAGTTCAAGATGGCCACCACAGCTAAGTGACATTAGCCATACATTTGGATCTATAACTCAATTTTACAGATATTGAGCTAAAATTAGATGTGGTAGTAGCTGAGTCGTTCCCAAACACAAACTGAGTGTGACATCATGCAGTATCACATAAGGCCATTTTCAACGTTCGACTAAAACGGCTCCATCGTTTCCCGACTTAAAATGATCTCGGTCTAAAACTCTGGCGTTAAATGTGGAGGGCGATACGCGTTCCTTCCAAGGACACGAGGACGTTAATTAGAAAAAATAGATTAGATGTTTACGATGTCAGAGCGTTTGTCTTTTTCACACAAATTAAGGCATCTGAAGAAACATCCTCCAAAAGTGGTTTCTGTATATTTTTTCCTGATCGTCAAAACGAGTGAGGTGCAGTGGCGCCTCGGCTGCAGCGGCGCCTCGGCTGCAGCGGCGCCTCGGCTG